AATCCATGAGAGTTGTACCACTTCTTCCTCTGATTCCCTCCTCTACCCCACTGGAATAGGAGGGAGAGTGACAACAATCCACACTAGTTTTTCCCAATTTGAGTCTGTTTTGATCGTGACCCTAACTTGTAAGTAACTTCCTTATCTTATTGTGACACGTGATCCTTTCCATCCTATTTCCCCTGCGGAAAAGGGGCTGAGCAAAAGACTGTGCGGCAGACAGCTCTGAATTCAAAAGTTGAGGTAATGGCATAAGCTTATAGGGAAAAGGAAGCAAGAAGACAGAAATCCAACACCTAGTCTCTGTACTTCCACTTACTCAACAAAGCACCACTCAGAAGTGCAAGGCAGCGTAATGAAAAATGTGAATATCTGTGATTTATTATTTAACAAAACAGGTCCTAACAGTTCTAATATTGAAGCTGGAAAACTGGCTTTCTAGAAAAAACTGTAACCTGGCATTTTGTAATTTAAAAACAGTCTAGGAATCAAGCAAATGTCTGAAGACACTATGTACCTGGCTTACTTTTGTGCTTGTTTTCACACACTGCCAAGTAACACTCCACACACTACACAAGAATTCTAGGTGTTGAAATTTTTAACTTAGCTAAATACCAGGAAAAAGCTATGGCACAGCTTGAAAATAGGAAAAAAAACCTCCAAACATGTTCAAAGCAATGCATTAACTACTGTGTTAAATTTTATTTTTTGTTGTCTGTAGGAGAATTATTTTGCAATGAAAGCATTAAACAATAATCACTAACACCACTAGAACCTATCCTCAATCCTCAAACTGATCTCTGAAGCAAAATTTGAAAGCCTATGAGTTATAACTGTGTTTGGTTTTTGTTTCTTTTTACCATTTGAAGTTGTTGTTTGAGGAGGGTTTTTTGCTGTTTTGCTGTTTAAAAGCTAGCTTACACAAATTCTTTCTTACATGTTTCAGTGCCGTATAATTTCAGAATTAGATTCTGTGAAGTCAGCTATGAATGTCTGAGCCAGAATATATCTACTGTTGCAAGTAACATTATATTAAGCTCCATGTGCAAAATAAAACCAGGAACACAAGAACCCTTCATCCAGTGTACATGATTTAGTAAGCCCAAAATGCAAGAGATTTTTTAGCAAAATTTCATCCACATTTAAGCTATTTCCTATAGGAAAACATTCTATTCTCCACATTTAACGGCATACAAAAAAACAAAACAAAACAAAAAACTAAGGTTAATATCAGAGAGTACAAACACAAATACGCATTTAGCTTGCAGGATTTTTTTTCTCCACTCCCAAAAAGAATTAGATATATTAAGCTCCCCTTTTCCAATAAGCACTTTTTTTAATGCTGAATACTACAGTTACTACTAAATTGACAAATGTTACCCTCAGTGTAACATACAAATACTGCAAGATGAACTTTTTGAACACATTAACCCAGATAGGAACATCAAGTCTCAAACACTATCTAGTGAAGTAATTTAAACCTTCTTAAAACTTTATCCACCTCAAAACTGTGTTCCTTCAAGTTATTACAGATAATACAAGTGTGCACAACTGCATCCAGTTTTGGAGCCCCCAGCACAAGAACATGGAGCTGTTGGAGTGGGTGCAAAAGTAGGGCCGGCACACCTATGAGGACAGGCTGAGAGATCTGTTGCACTTCAGTCTGGAGAAGATTCCAAAGAGACCTTACAGCGGCCTTCCAGGAGCTGAAGGGTGACCATAGTGAAGCTGGGGAGGGACTTTTTAAAAGGGCAGCAAGCAACAGGATGAGAGGAAATGGTTTTAAACTGGAAAAAGGTAGATTTAGACTAGGTATTAAGAGACACTGGAACAGACTGCCCAGTGAGGCTGTGGATGCTCCCTCCTTGGAAGCATTCAAAATCAGGGTGGATAGGGCTTTGAGCTACCTGATCTAGAGGGAGGCGTCCCTGCCTGTAGCAGTGGGGTTGGAACTAGATGATCTTACAGGTTCCTTCCAACCCAGACCATTCTGTGATTCTATGATGCTCTGCCCAAATAACCTCACAACTGAACAGTTCTTGGCAATTTAAGATCAAGACCAACAACTACATAAAGAAATATAATCATCCTGTACAACATAAGAACTTGGAAGCTTTTAACACACAAAATGAAAAAATGAAGTACTTTTTATATAATAAAAATGATCTATCTGTACAATAGTTTTTCCAAACTATCTAACAAACACACCACCCCTTGCCTCAAGATGCACTAAATCAGCTAAGGCGGACTTGTGTGCCTTTGAAGCCAGGAAAAAAATCACAAGAACTACCTGCAGACATTAAAACTGCCTTACAGAGTTGAATTACTACTTAAGACTAATTTGCTGAATTGGATGGAACAGCTGCAAGCAATCTAAGGATCTAGGATGAACCTCTGAGTGACATCTAAAGAAAGTGATTCAGCTTAAAATAAAATCCAATCATATTTTAATTCAGCAGTAAGTTGTGTTGATTTCACTGGCTCCAGCTCACAATGTTCTTACCATCATAAAGACATGCATCAGACGTCAAGCAGGTAAAATGTCACATACAGTTAGAGCCTGACTGCAGCTCACACAGACACAACTACTTTGTAACAGAGTTTACTGCAGATCCTGACCTTTCTTCTAATAGAAACAAGTGCGGAAGTCTGAAAGAGGTGTTGTTAAGATACAAAAAGAAAGTAGTTTTGCTCTGTGGACATCTAAACTTTAACTTAGATTTCTGGTTTTCAAATTCAAAACAAGCAAGCAAGAAATACCACAAAACCTTAAACTACTTTACATGTTTGACTTGGAAGCCCTTTGTTTTTCGGTCACTTTTTAGCTTACTAAGAGTAACATAAATATTTTCCATCTCCTAGACATTCACCTACAGTTACTTAGATCTGCAGTTCACACAAAAATACATTAGATAAGCTCAATGTGACCTGTGTTTGCAACGAAATTACTGTAATTGAGAACAAAGTTTCATTTGCTGACAGAAGAAAAAAAAAAACAACAAGAACAAACACACACACAGACACCAAGGAACATGACGTGAAAGATATTTTACGTCTTCTCAACAAGTTCACTACACTAAGTATTAAAATTCGCTCACTCCTTCTACCAAAATTCCTCTTAACAGCATACATAGATAGAATAGGAAGTGAAATAAATTTAACATTTATAGCTAACAACGTGAAACTCAGAACCAGTCACCTCCCACTTACTGAAAAAATGTCTCCCTTGAGCCACAACCTATACCAAACCATAGGTACCCAGTCACTTCTCTTTGTGCATAACAAAATCCACAGGTTACTTAGTGATGTAGTTGATGCCCCATCCCTCATTACTTCCAAGGCGAGGCTGGATAAAGGCCCTGGGAAAACTTATCTAGCTCTTGTGTCCCTGTTCACTGCAAACAGCTGGACTAAATGGCTTTCAGAGGTCCTTTCCAACTCTTGAGATTCTACAACTCTATGAAAATTCTCTCTACTTCCTGCAACATCAAAGTCTGATTCCTCTGTGCCTTTCAGCTGCTCTGTCTGTGCCCCACATAAAGAAGTGTATCTGAATTAAGGCTGATCCATCAGCACTAACAAAAGTCAACAAGACAGATGGTAACTATGAATCCCTAAGTCTACCATTTGAAGGTGTGTGTGTGTGTTTCTTTTTTAATTAAAGCCTCATCACTCAGTTTATACAAGACAGAACTCCAAGGCTGAAGATAAGAGTGGCTCAAAGGAACAAATAAAGACAGTGGGATTGATCCTGTAACAGTGCAAGACCTGACTATTTACGTGCCCTTCTACTAGTCACCACCCCACAGTAGTCACACCAATACAGTGGTTAGATCACTGCTGTAAGTATTGCAATTCTCTTCCTGATCTTCTGAAAGACCCTTCTTCAAGTGTGTGTAGACAAGTAAAAGAAAAGTGCTAACACTCTGTACAGAGATCAAAAGAGACATAACAGCTTATGTGAGCAATCTATAAAAGTCAAATTTAAAGAACTGAATAAGTGTTTTTGCTTTGCAGACACTGATTCTTACAAAGGTACAAGATGAACCATTCATCAGTACAGCAGATCCCATTTCCTGTGCTCTCACTCCTAAGCAGTTTCACTCACTTGAAAACAATAATTCAAAGTAAATGGACTTATTTCTAATAACCCTTTCCTACTGCACACAAGTGCTTTAGAGAGTGTCCTTTCAATGAGATAAAATAGAACTTCGTACTTGTTGTGAAGTTTCAAATCCAGCTTTGGACATCAATTTCTAAGGCTAGGTGGGATGACTTTAAAAGTCCACAAATGATCACCAGTCGAGAGCAAAAAGAACAGAAAAAGACCCCATCCCCTGGGGAAACTGTGTCCATGTGCTGTGCCCCTATGGAAAAAATGGATTCTGTCTGAGAAAGGCTGAATGTTTCACTGCGAACGACTGGTAAACAGAAGGGACTTTGCACTGGTGGTGCTCTCCCAGCTCTTCCATCTCACCGGAGTTCTCCAGCGAGATACCCCACACCGTTCACTAACGAAACGCGCGACCCATAACCGCCATACCACTGTGTCACTGCATAGGTCGCACCGACCTCAGGCGTGCCGCTCTTCTCACTCCCGCCAACACCGCCAGCGCAGTTTTATGCCCTCGGGCAAACAACGCTAAGTTGCAAGTACAGAAACCCACACTCCGCCGTCCCCGCCTTCGGTTCCCTCCAGCTCGACCCCGCGGCAGTTCTCTCTGCGGCACCTCCCCGCCTGCCCGAGGAGCTACCCAGAACCTCGGGGCCGGGCGGCACAGACCTACCCCCGCAGAGCGGGTCGTCCCCCGTAGTTACCCCGCTGCCTCCGGGGTGCCCCACGGAGTCCTGGCGGAAAGCCGCGCCGAGCCCCGAGTTCCGAGCAGGACGGCCGCAACGCCTCGAGTCAGCTCCGGGCGGCGGGAAGGCTCCCCGACAGCGGCCGCGCGGCATGACGGGACCGCAGGGAAAGGCGAGGGGCGGAGCGGGCCGGGCCATACCTGCATAGGTCGTCCAGGACGCTGCTGGGGATCTCGGCCCGTTTGGTCTCCATGGGGAAGCGCGGCTCATCCCGACACGGCGAGGCCCGGACACACGGCTCGGCGGCGAGGGCGGAGCTGTCGGCTGCCCGCCCGGCGGGGGGCGCGGCCAAGGCGGAGCGGCAGCTCGCTCCGCCAATCCCCTACCGCGTGCTGCGCCGGGCTCTTCTCGCGCGGAGGCGCGGCGTGCCAATCAATGAGAAAGCTGCGAAGGGAAAGGGAGACTCAAGCGACCGCGGAAACCAGCCGAAGGCGAACGTTGCCTCCTTCGTGCGTCATCGGCGCATGCGCCAGGGCGTCACGTCAGCCGCCGCCGCCATCTTAGCTGCGGGTGCGATCCGCTACCGTCCGGCTGGGCAGGGGGCGGTACCGCCGCGCTGAGGGCTAGGCGCTCCTGACGAGTGATTGATCTCCGCGCAGCGAATTCCGCGGTAGCACGTGAGACTGGGAGCTTGCTTTAGGGTTGGCTGTGCTTCACCGCCCGCACCCACACACTACAGTGCCTTTGGGTGGCGTGATGTTTTTAAAAACCCGAGGCAGCAGCAACCAGAGGGCGCCCGCGGCTCCTTACGCGGTCGTTGAAGTAAACTTGGTGAAAGCATCGAAGGGTGGAAGCCCTTTGTATTGCTTCCCTTCCCTGCTCTAGTTCTTACAGGGTTTGTACTAAGCCCATTCATCTCCCACGTTCTGATTTCACGTCTTTCGTGAAAGGAAAGAAAAACTTTAAAAATATAACGATTCCTGACTGTGGCTGAGCTTTGCAGTTAGGCATTTCAAACACCACTGTGTCCTTACAAGGTTAGCACACAGTGCTATTTATTTATTATTATGTGTACATTTTGTTAGAATAAAGGCAGTAGTGAAGGTGCTGAGCTAGCAATACCCCAAACGACTTTGTTGCTTGCAACTTGTTTCCCAGCTGTTAGGAAAGTGAGGAATACACCTTTTGCCTCCTTTCCGAGGTTAAAAGAAGCAGCAAAGTCTCAACGGTTGCTCCAGAAACACCATGTGTCATATGACTTTGGAGCAGTTTTCATAAATACAGCAGATTTGCACAAATTGGTCCTCATCAGCAAACTTCACAGTGGAGATTTTGATAATTTGCTTTACCACCTTTTTGCTACAATGTATGAGATGTTAGGTGATTCACATGAAATCTGTATGTGTAGAAGCACAGAGGAAGAGATGGCTCTTGGCAGGGACATATGGAAGGCTTTGTGTGCCAACCAGTAGATCTCACTGTTTGCAATTCCAGTGAGTTCTGTTTCTGCCTAAAGGGTAGACATAAAAGGTTCTATAATCAATACAAGACTTGCATCACTTTCAGGGTATCACCTTCCAAGGTAGCTTTTCCAAATTGATAAGAGTAAATATGTAAGTTCTTGACCAGGGGCTTCAATTATGGTTCCAAGTAAGCAGTATTTCTCTACAAAGCTTATCATACATCAAAAACAATCAGTGGATGTTCCTAATTCCCAGTTATTCCTATGAGCCAGTGAGGGGACTGTGTTACCAAGAAGCCAAAACTGCACACCTCAGAATTACTCCTCTGGAGTCCATTACCTTTCTCTTCTCTTCTTTGCCTATTTTTTGCTTTTTTATTGCTTTTCACTGCTTGAGATATAAAATTCATAATACACAAATTTAAAGTCTTAAGATTTTCCTACAGAAATCATTGCAGTTACAAATGCTTTTTATTTGCAAAAGTCTCCAACTCCAGACTAATTTCCTGGAAAGGCTAAGAAGCAACCTCTGGTCCTGAAACATCTGAAAAGTAGAATGGAAATATTCAGCCAGCTCATAAGAGCTGCTATGAGGCAGAGATCAGGGAAAAATTTCCTTCAAGTGTTATTCTTTGCTCTGCTTTGCTTATTTACTTATTTTTTTTCCTCCCCATGTACCAAGAACCCCATAAGATGAGAAAAAGAATGTTTTAGAAAATGACACCTTATGCCATATATGCTACTATTAGTCCTGTGATTTCTGGGGGGGGAAAAAAAGATAAAATGATAAAGTAAATGTATGTAATGCTATGGACCTTAAGCAGCTAATTATCTAAGGATGTTTCGTAACAGAGAAGAAACTGTAGAGCCTAGAGAAAGTTTATACCTGCTGCCACCAAGTACCTAGGACAGGAGAGGATAAGAGCCATTTGCAGTTCTTGCTTCACTTTTGAGACATCACTGAAATACACTGAATCAGGAAAGAAACTTAAGAAGAAAACTCTTGCTAAGTGTGATCTTAACAAGATCATAATCATTGTTTCATTTTTTTTCTTCATTTAGAGGAAATTCATGGCTTATCCTCTTTTGCTAAAATAACATGCACTCTTTTCTCCCATAAGCTCCTGCAAATCAAGTTTAATTAAAACTGACATATTTGGGTTGTAACATTTCTTCAAATATAGTCCACATACAGATGCGTCTCAGGAACTTGCAAGCAGAGACATGTTGAGGGTGCAGCTGACAGTGCCTCTCATCAAGTGGCAAGTTCAATTGGGATACTAGAATGGCAACACATGGCATCAACTTTTCCCTACCACACCAGCACTCAGCAACCTGTGAAATTATCCAACAATGTAGTCAAACAGGTTTTTAGTGTGTTTATCGGTCAGCTTTGGCACTCACTCACAAAGGCAACAATAAAATGTGAAAATATATTTGAACTGAGGGGAAGAAAGAAGGTAAGAGGAAACAAAAATGGTCACTAAATTGTGCAGTTAGAAAAGAATCTCTGAAAAGGAGCTAGATTGCGCAGCAAAAGCAACTGTTGAAATTTGAGAACATTTTTGGAGGGGCCAGCTGAGGTGGACAACAGAATTGAGCAAGACAGAAGGAAACTCTTGGAGGCTAAGAAAGAACCAAATTCAGAGCTCAACAACATGTCATTGCACTCATGTGAATTTCAGTAAAGATTGAGGCAGCATGTGAAGAGTCTACAGCTGACCTGGCTTGCCCAAGTCATTAAAAAAAAAAAAAAAAAAAAAGTTATTTCCCGTTATTTCCCCTCAGCCCTTCAACAAACAGTTGGTTCCTATACTAAAATCTCCAGCAAATGAGAGCTAACAGAGGTAGTAGGGGCACCAAAGAGCACTGACTTATAAGCAGTGTGAGCCCTCATCAGCTCAGCATTGCCAGTTGCTATAAAGCTCCCTTCTTGAGTCAAATTTACATAAAATATACACAGGAACCATTCAAGCACTACTGCCCTGCTCTGCTCAGTATGATACATGGGAAATGAACAGAGTGGGAGAGATCACATAGGTATCCAGCTCAGACAGATGGTGGAAATCAACTAACACTATATGAACCATACTGAGAAATATAAACAGTTAAATAATTTGAGACCAGTTTACATTCAGCAAATCATCTACCCCAAGTTAGTGAAAATATATGCATAAAACTAAATACATCTCAGTTCCCTGTTTAAAGAAAGATAATTGCAAAAATCTTCAGAAAATAACCTGGCAGGTTTTTTCGTTGATTCTTTTTTGTTTGACTGATTGATTGTTTTCAAATGAGAAGTAATATAAAAACGGCCACATGTAGTAATGTGCAAGAAATTATAATAATGAATAAGACACATTCAGTAGAAAATTTTCATTAAGTTTGGTAACTAAGCACTAGCAGAATTCTCTGAATATTGCAGAGGAGGCAGGGCATCTGTGGAAAGTAAGAAGTCTGTGATTATGTGGTTATGGTATGTATAAAGAGCTGTGGTAGATCTGCTTAGAAAATCTACATTTAGACTTCAGCTAAAATTAAAACACTTAAACAATTTTATAATGTATGAGTTTGCAGGTAATCATTAATTTAATGACAGTAGTGCATATTGTTATATAGACAGAACAAGCATGCACTGAAACATAGTACACGCTACAGGGCATGACTGAATCCCGTACTTAAGTCAACACTGAAATCAAACAGGCTTACCCAGCTGATCCACATAACAATTTACACATCCCTTGGGTATGATAATCCACTTGAAATCCAATTTAGACAGATTGTTGGATGAAGAATGTACCTGTGCTAAAGCCAGAGGTTAACCTTTAACTGAGTATAAATAATAGGAGTGGAGTACAACTCAGGGTGAAGAGTCATGTTAGTAATGTGGGTAAAAAGGTAAGTGAGCATATTCAGTCTGTTCTGATCCTCCTATTAGATTTAGTAGCTTAAAACACCAAAGTGGAGAAATCAACCATTTGTACCATAGGAATGGAATGTTGTTTCTACATTAGATATTGAAAAGGGGAATTGATCTGAAGAAGTAGAGCACAGTGTATTTGTATTTTGTAACTTGTCCTTAGAAATACCTGACGTGAAAAAGTAGAAATACCATATATGTTAATAGCGTATTTTAGAAATATTGTTGCTGAATTACGTCATTAATTCTTGCTTGCAAAACTGCATAAGTTTTTAAATGTTGCAAATAGCATGAGTATAGCATTATGGACTAGAAAGCATGTTGTAAGGCTATTCTGTTTGGATAAGAGATCCTCAGCAAAAGAAAAACAGACTTAACAAACATCAAAGAAGCCAAGGCATCCACACAAAGACGGCTTGTCTCACACTGTGGCTAGGTTGGGATGCAACAGTTAGGCATCAAGATACTCCCCTTTATCCTCCTTTCCAAACTTATGTCTGTCCAAGGATATGGATGTGTCCAGAAACAATGACCAAGTGTTGAGTGAGCAAACGTTAGAAATTTAATAGCAATATATGCTTAGCTACCAACAATTTATATTTAGCTAGTATCTGTATGTTTAGTTGAGCATCGGGAAGATTATGAACCTGAAGTACTCAGCCAATGAGGAATCAGGGAAGGAAGAGACAAGCGTCAGGTAATAGGGCATACAAGATAAAATGGTGCTTTCTGTGCACTCTTGCTTGCAGGATGCCTGCTGTTGCAATTGCAAATAAAATCTGCTTTTATCAGAGATACCGTCCTGATAAATTATGTGGATATTTCCAACAGTATCAACTAGGAAATAAATGTAGGGGAAAAAAAAGTTTAAGATAAAAAAAGAAGAAGATAGAAGAAGACAGTAGAAAGGAAATAACCCTGCTCCATGCTGTTCTCTTTGAGTACCTCTCAAGAGCTCTCTAAAATGCTGTCCTCACTGGGGCATAACATGCAGCCTGCATGGCTAGATGAAGCTTAAATTAGCAATTCCTCTCCCAGCCCCAGTAGCCTATGACTAAAATTAGACTTTGGTATTTCGTGATAATCTACAGCTAGAATCATAGTAGTCCACTACTGTACACACTTTGGTTCTTACTGAGGATACATTCTGCATTCTGCTACTTCTGAAACTTGCATAGTAAGAAATCACAAATCTCGTGGCCCTCCACAGGATTGACCTGATGCATTTATCTGCTTCTCCAGCAGAACCTCCTTGAATAGGTCTCTTCATCCTCCTTTAACCTTTTCTAGGCTAACTCCTTCAGATTGTGGTATAATTCCTCTTACTTTTAAGCTTTTCTGGAAACAAGAAGAAACACTGAATAATGTTTATTGTTCACCATATTTTGTTAAAAGAGCATTAGGACAGTATTCCACCTTTGTGGTCATTTGCATTTCCAGCTTCTTTCTCCTAACATTTTGCTATTGCTCTGTAACAATTAAACCATCATAAACAAAGCAGATAAGCACATTACTGGTAAAGATAATTTATTCAGCAGATTGAAGTACATTGAAAATGCTTGTCTAGTATAGATTAACCAGGAGACATGTTAATGCCATATCAAAAAGTACACTTTTGCATAAAAGAACAAAAAGTGCAAAGTTTATTATGAAAACTGAGCTGATATTCTATTACTTTCAACATTGTTATTACATTTCTTTTTCTATAAATTTTGTATTTCATTTGCCCTTCTTCTCAGTCCTTCAGTTTTACAGGTATGACGAAAAATAATTTTTAGAAGGGCCCTGAAAAATGTGATGGGGGAAGAGGGGGGGGAGGGGAGGGAGAAAGACCGGGGGGAGTTCTGCTGCAGCTTCTTGTGCAGAGCCCTCTTCAGTTTGCTCACTTAGAGTTTAACAAATCCTGTAATTTCTCTAGAATACAGCATACTCTTAAACCAAATCAGAGTAACAATGCTTTCTGCATACCATTGCAATGCTTATCTTAAGCCATTTTTAACCACAGGCATACTGTAACAGCATAGTACTGTTCTAAGAATGGTGAGGATCGGCGCTCAGTGGCATCTTCATTACTGACAAAAAAAGATCTTAATAAAGATGTTAATATTATTTTAAATTCAAGTGTAGAATTTTGTTCTGTCTGAAGCTGAGAATTAAATCTCTTGCAAGCTGCTCTTAATAAAATGAACTAGGGGTCTCTAGACTGCATTGAACATGAGTCAGCAATGTGTCCTTCCCACCAAGAAGGCTAATAACATTCTTGGCTGAATCGGGCAATGTACTGACAGCAGTTCAATAAGGTGATCCTTCCCTTCCACTGAGAATTGCTGAGGCCACACTTGGAGTCCTGCGTCTAGCTATGGGCTCCCCAGTGTGAGAGACATGGATGTTCCAGAAACAGTTGAGAAAAAGGCAACCACAATGAAGATAAAGGAGCATCTATCATTTGCAGAGAGGCTTAGAGAGCTGTAATCTGTGACTGTTCAGCCTGAAGAAGGCTCAAGGAAGATCTCATCAATGCCCATAATTATCCAAAGGGAATGTGCAGAGAGCCAGGATCTGTTCTTTAATGTCCAGTGCCAGGCCAAGAGGCAATGAGCACACACCAGAGGACTATTTCTCTCTCTTAGCAGGAAGCACTTTTGTGCTGTGTGGGTAATAGAGCTGCCCAGAGAGGCTGCAGAGTCTTCTCCTTGGAGATGCCCAAAAGCCACCTGGATGCAGGCAAGGTGATCTCCTGAAGTCTCTTCCAACTTTAAGGACTGTTATTATTCTCCTCGTTCTCATCATTCTTGCCTTAAATGATGGCTATTTAAGAACTTTTTTTTTTTTTTTTTTTTTTTTTTTTTAA